AAAAATCTGTCTACCCCAGCTTTGAATATATTATGACCAAACCATTGCAGTTTTCTGGGAAGAGTATTCCACAGCCTGAGGAATGTCTGTGTGCAAAAAGAACCCCTCATCTCAGTCTTAAATGAGAAACCCTGATTCTAGAGTTCCCCCACATGGAAAAAGCAACATCCATGCAGTCGTCTCCTCTAGGTTGTGTACGTTTCAAAATAATTACCGCTTGCTCAAATTCCAATGAGTATAGGCCTAAACTGCTCAACCTTTTACTCATAAGTTGACATTTCATCCCAAGGATCAGTCAAATGAACCTTTTCCCAAAAGCTTCTAATGCAATTCTATCCTTTTTCATAACGTATCAAAGCTGTATACAGTACTCCACATGTAGCCTCAGTAAGGCCTGTACAGCTGCAGCAACACTTCCACAACTTAATGTTTGATTTTCCCTCTCAAATAAATGCCAACATTCCATTTGCCTTCCTAATAATTTGCTGTATCTTCTTCATAACATTTTTATGATTCATGTTCTAGGACATCCACATCCCTCTGTTTCACAGTTTTGCAGTCTTTCCCACTCTCTGCTTGCCATTTTTCTTCCTCACTCTCACTTAATCCATCTAAGTCCCTTTGCAGATGTTTTATGCCTTCTTGACAGCTTTCTTCTCTATATGTCTTGGTCGTCCACAAAGTTAACTACATACATTATCTCACAAGTCCTCCTTTTATCCAAGCCAATCATATGCATTGCAAATAATTGATGCCTCTGAACTAATCCCTATAGCATTCCCCTCATCTTGCCAACGCAAAAATAATCCATTTGCCCTTACTTTGTTTCCTGTTAGCTAACTAATCCTTTGTCCATCCTAATGTTTTACCTCCTGCAACTGGAGCCCTTATTTTGCTAAGAACACTTGTGATATCGGATCTGCAGCCTTTTGGAAATTCCAGTATCCTACATCCACAGGATCCCCTTTATGCACCTTGCTTGTACTTGCTAAAAGAACTTCAGTAAATTAGTCAAATACGATTTCTGTTTTCCCAAAACCATGCTGACTTTGTCTGTTATTATGATTTTCTAAACATTTTGCTAGTCCTCCTTAATAATGGAGTTTAGCAATTTCCCTGTGGCAGATGTTAGTAACTAGCCTAGTTTCCTGTTTTGTACGTCCCTCTTTTTCTGAGATGTTACAATTGCAGTAAGCTGGAACTGTTCTAGAATCTGTAATTTTGGATAATTATTACCACTTCATCTACTTTCTCAGTAGTCCCCTCTTTAAAGATCCTTGGATGCAGACCGTCAAGTCAGGGAATGTGTCATTTCAACATTTTACTCCAAGAAGGTGCAACCATCGTTTTTTTTTTAATAAAAGTCATTTTTTGATTTTGTATCTAGGTACCTTTTGTACCCAAGATGGTGCTGGGAATAGTGACTCTGTACACTTTTCACTATGCTCCAGTATCCCTGTACTAGAGTAAGTGACAATAAAACCTAATTCTAGTTTTAATCTTCATCTCCTTAAACGTGCTTGGCTCACAGCTCATTATAGGCTTTGGCGTTTTCTTTGCAAATGTTTCCATGACTTTATATTTAGACAAGAAATGGAAATAACAAAATTAAATCCATCCATTGACATAGATATTTTTTGTGACCACTGGATGCATAAAGAGGTCTGCCTTTTTAAACATAGCCCTATTATAATGAAGGATATGCAGCAGGCAGTATGTATACAATAAACACCCTTATGCGGTAGCAATATGATGACCAGATGACCTGATTTTATGATATTGATTGAGAGATAAGTATTGTCCAGTACTTGGAAGTACTCTTCCTCAAAATAATACTGTGTCTTGGGTTGCTTTATATTTACGTGAGAAAACAGGTGGGACCTCATCCAAAGTCCTCATCCATTTCTAGCAGTGCAGTGCACACTTAAACACTGTACTGAAATGTCAGTTTTGATTTTTGTGCTTAAACCTGAAATGGGACTTGAACTCGGAACCTTCTGACAACGGAGGCAGGAATGCATCTAATTGATTTGCAACTATTAAAAATCCATTCATATGATATGGGATTTGCTGGCTAGACCAACATTTGTTCCCCATCTCTAAGTGCTCTTGGGAAAACGATGGTGAGGGCCTTCTTGAACTGCTATAGTTTGCGTGTAATACTCCCCTGACTTTTTTCTTGTTGTTAAGTGAACCTACAAGGTCAGTGTGTGGCAGTGCCTTCCAAAACTGCAAGTCTGTGCATTGGCACACTGGTTTGCGCAGAAACCCAGCAGTTGCAAGACCACGCAGGTTAGAGGGAACATTGTGTGGTGTAGGTATACCCAAAGTGCTATAAAAAGGGACTTCCAAGAATTTCACTGAGAGACAGTAAAGAAATGGTAATACAGTTCCAAGTCAAGATAACAACATATGACTTGGATGGTAACTTCCGTGTATCTGCTGATCTTCTACTTAAAGAACAGAGTTTGAGGTTGGAAGGTGTTTGCTCAGCAGCCTTGGTTAGTTGTTGCTTGTAGATGAAACTCATCTGCCAATATGTATCACTGGAGGGTATTTTGCCTGTTTTGAGTTCGGCCTTATGAGTAGTGTTAGAGTTGCATTCATCTAGGTACGTAGAGAGTATCCTATCATACTGCTCATATTGAACCTTTTTGATGGTGAACAGGAAGTGAAGTACTCACTGCCGAATTCCCTGCCTCTAATCTGTTCTTGTAGTCGCAGAATTCATGTGACCAGTTGAGTTCAGTTTCTGGTAAATGGTAACCTGTCGTATGCTAATAGTGGGGGATTCAGCAATAGTAATGCCACTGAATAAGAATCTAACCATTCTCTGTTGCTGGAATGTTCATTGCTTGAGTCTTGTACGATGCAAGTATTACTTGGCACTTATCAGTCAAAGCCTGAATGTTGTCTATAGGTCTTGTATTTTGACGTGGACAGCTTCAGTATCTGAGTTGTTGCAAATGGTGCTGAAGATTGCACAATGGTCGTCGAACGCCCCCACTTTTGACCTTACGGTGGAAAGAAGCTCACTGATTTTTGTTTTAAATTCATTTGTCGGATGTGGGTGTTGCTGGCTGGTTAGCATTTACTGCTCATCACTAGTTGTCCCTGAAGGTGGTGGTGAGCTGCCTTCTCAAAACACTGCAGCCCATGTTGTTGATGCATCTGTAGTTGGTTGGACCTAGATACTATCCTGGAGAATTCTTGATGTCATATTCCGGTTCTGAGATGTATGGTCTCCATCAGCCACAACTACCTTCCTTTTATGCTTGGTATGGCTCTAGCCAGCTGAGAGTTTTCTCATTGCCAGCCACATTCAGTTAAGTGCTGCCTTGATGTCAAGAGTAGTCACCCCCACTTGCCCTCCTTTGAATTCAGTTCTTTTGACCTTGTTTGGACCAAAGCTGTAATGGGGCCAGGAGAAGAATGGATCTGCCAGAGCCCAAACTGTGTGACAATGAGCAGATTATTGACCAAGTCCTGTTTGATAGCAGATGATACCTTCCTTCACTTTGATCAAGAGTAGACTCATGAGGCAGTAATTAGCTGGACTGGATTAATCTTTTTGTTGGCAGGACCTACCTGGGCAATTTTTGAGATGCCAGTGTTGTAACTGAACTGAAATAGCTTAATGAGGGGCACAGCGTGGACGCTGTTCTCTTGAATATTTTTTTCTTCTGTGTGGGCCTTTGGGGTCTGTGTGGCAGCAACTTCCGGAACTAGAAGTCAATGCTGCGATCTGCGTGGCCATGCCGATTGTCATGTGTATAATATCGGAGCAGTTGTGTGCAAGCACAGCTTCCGGGGAACTTTGTTCTTGAGGACAAGTCTTCAGTGCTAAGAGTAGAATATTGTCAGGATCTGTAGCCTTTGCAGTATCCAGTGCCTTTAGCCATATTTTGGTATTACATGGATTAAATTAAAATGGCTGGCACTTCTGACTGAAAATATTGCCGCACGTGCCTTAGTCTTACCTTTTGCACTGCTATTCTGGGATCCCCTATCATAGAGAATGGCTTTATCTGTGGAGCCACATCCTGCAGTTAGTTGATTAATTGTCCACTGCCATTAATGGCTTGATGTGGAAGGACTGCAGAGCTTAGACTGGATTCATTGATTCTGGGATTACTAAACTCTTGTCTATCGCATGCTGCTTGTCATTGCATGTAATCCTGTGTTGTAGCTTCATCAGTTTGATGCCTTGTTTTGGCTGTGCCTGTTGCTGCTGCTCCTGCTCCATACCATGTTGCACTCTTTTTGTTGAAGCAGGATAGATCCCCTGGCGCAGGACTAACAGTAGAATGGCGGATATGTTAAGTTGCAGATTGTAGTTGTAAGCAAATCTGGGGGAGATGCTCTCACAGATGTCCAGTTTTTGGTTGCTAGACTTGTTTAAAATCTACTCCATTCATCACTGCATACAAAATGTTGGGAAGTATCCTCAGTGTGAAGTGTGACTTTGACTACACAAGGAGTGGTCAATTTTACTAATACTATCATGGACAGATGCATCTGATATAGGTAGATTGATGAGATGAGAACAAGTAGATTTTTTTTTGCTCTTGTTGGGTCTCTCAGCAAGTTTATGTATATCAGGACCTGAGCAGCTTGATCACTAACTGTGCTACTAAGCCACTGTTGTGAAGGACATTGAAGTTACCCACCCAAAATGCATTCTATGCCCTTGTCAGCCTCTGCATTTTCTATGTTCAATATGGAGACATAGAGATTCATTGACATTAGTCTAGATTTATTAATTAACTTCAAATTTTATCATCTGCCATGGTGGGATTCAAACCCACGATCTAAGGGCATTGATCTCTAGCTAGTGACGATACCACTACATTACCATCTTCCCAACTGGCAGACATTCTCCAGTGAGTCACCAATATCTGAGAGAATTTGAATTGCTCTACGTGCCATTTTTTAAAAATGAAACTTTTGATATCTCATGCAATACATTTCCAATGAATTTGTTTGCTTTTGTGATCTAGGACGTTGATGTTGATGATAAAACAGGGCTGGAAGTTGATGGTGAACCTGATTTGAAACCTGATTCAGATATTCCTGATGTTCCACCCTCAAATGACAGCACTCCTGAAGTATTCAATAAGGCCCTATCAGGATTATCTTCAAGGTACCATTTCAGTTTGTAATACATGAAAGTTATTGATCTACATTTAACAGTCAGCTAGATTTCTCCATCCAATCCTTTGTGGTACCTCCTGATCAGTGCTTCTCTGAACTTGAACTTTTTTCTCTTGCAGTCAATATTCTTACTCCCTTCAGCTATGTGCAACTCTGATTATATCCACGCTTCTTTATTTTTGGCCTTGAGTATTTTAATGGATCCACTATAGTTGGCCATGCTTTCAGCTGCTTTGGCCCAAAGCTTTCAAATGCTGTCCTAAACCTCTGTCACTCCACTTCACTTTCCTCCTATTTGGCTGTCTTAAAACCAAACTTTTGCTTTTTTGCAGTTATGTATATTGGTGTCATAATTTGTTTTATATTGCCTTCGCGAAATGTCTTGAGGCCTTTTATTTTGTTAAAGGTGGTATACAAATAAACGTTGTTTGGTCGTGCTGGAGACAATGTTTATTGCACAATATCCTACTCTCACTTTTTACTTCTACTTACAATTATCAGGCTTTTAAAACCTAATCTTGGTATTACCTAATCAATGTTTCCTGATGTACCCTCCATTGTTTGAAAATATGGTTTTGGCTGTTCTGTTCAACTTAATTTTGACAATTTAAAAAGAATGATATTTGCATCCTACCTTGTAAATAGGTACTGCCCACAACAAAATAAAACTGCTTGTAAGTAAACAAATAATCAGTCTTACGTAGTGAAGCCATGCGTATATTTAGCATGGGGAAGCAAAACAAAAAAAGATTACTGATGCAATAGAATGTTCTTTGCTTACAACAGTGAATGCTGTTGAAACAAGGTTGTGTGGCCCTTCATCAAGATGTTTCACAATTCCAGTGGAAAACCTCTTATTCGAGGATATATGATTTTTATGACCATTTGGTCAGATGGTTGTATGCAACATTACCTTGCATTATAATTTGTGCTTCCAGTTTATATAACTTCCTGCCAGTAGGGCAGTGTTGGGAAATATGTAACTGAATTATCCAAACTGGAAGTTTCTTTGTTTGGACTGATCTTTCATCTTGAACTCAATTTCAGCAGAGGGAATTCTGCAACTACAGTTTTTCACAGTGCATGGCACATTTCACTTCTTAGGAAATGGATTTAAATTCATAATCTACTGTTAACTGGACATCAGACTTAACCTATCAACAATATGTGCGCAGTTCTGGTCATGACGCCATTGGAAGGATGTGGAAGTTTCGGAGAGGGTGCAAAACAGGTTTACCAGGATATTGCCTCGATTGGAATGTAGTAGTTATAAGGAGAGAGTGGACAAACTTGGGTTGTTTCGCTAGAGCATTGGAGGCTGAGGTGTGACCTTCATAAAGTTTAAGAGGTATGGATTGGGTGGATAGTCAGTCTTTTTCCCCAGGGTGGAAATGTATAATACTAGGGGGTATAGTTTAAGATGAGAGGGGACATGTTTAAAGGAGATATGCAAGGCAATTTTTTTTTAAACGCAGAGTGGTAGATGCCTGGAATGTGCTGCCAGGGTAAATGCAGATACAAAATCAACATTTAAGAGGTATTAAGAAAGGCACCTGATCAGGCAGGGAATAGAGGGATATGGACCATATGCAGGCTGATGGAATTAGTTTAGAATGGCATCATGGTTGGCAGAGACACGGTGGGCCAAGGGGCCTGGTCCTGTGCTGTTGTGTTCTATATAATATGGTTCATGTTATAGTTGCTCTGAATAAAGTAGAGCAAAGGTTCACATGGTTTACTTATTGCATATACTCTTCCAGATCTACCACCTCCCTACATATCCCTACCACCTTTACAGATTTAACATTTTAATACTTCAATCCCCATGTTGTTCAAAATTTACAAATTATGATATATCTGTTCAACATAAGCACTTACCATTAATGTGACAAATGGGTTGTTCGTTTGAACGTAAACACTTGGCAAAATAGAGGCATCTCTTTCAATAATAACTACCACAGAAAATAAAGCAAGTACGTAGACCGCTTGCTGCTGGTGTCAGCTAAATGTAATACTAAATTTAGGTTCTGCAGGGATTATGTGCAAAATTAGGCACTCTCTACTTTTAAAAGTACCTTAATTGGACTTTAAAAGAAGAGTACCTTTCTCTGTTGGTTCCAAAACATGGTAAAAGCTAAACAAGACTTCTCTGTGGCTATGAAGGAGAAATGATTGCATCGTGTGTTTAACTATCTTTTCCCCTCATTTTTATAATTTTTTTCATTGTATGTGCTTATTAAGAAACAAAGTTCTTTCCAATTGATGTTTTGCATTGCCTGTTGTGTTTTCCTGAATCTAAGGGCACACAGCATAGCCTGACGTGGACTGATGGATTTTTCCCATGCAATAGGCTATTTTTTTTGGCCAGCAACCACCCACTTTGCCATGTGAACTTTTTGTGTGGATCGGAGACCTCTGCAGAAGGCTCAGCCTCTTCCAGACTATCTGGACTAAATGACCTTCCAGAAGAAGGCTTTCATCCATACTTGGCCTTCTTTCTGGAGACCTTACACAATCTGTCAATTGCTGGCAGTTTCCTAATAACAGGACGTTCTTGAGTGGAGACGGTTTTAGATGGATCAAAGAGCAGTGGCTTTACCTTCTCCCGCCAATTGATGTAAACCACTAACTCTGAAAAAGGAGTGTTGATTGATTGGTTGGCAAGTAGACTATGGTAGTGATATTGCCTTGGGAAAAGTAGCAGTTAGATAATTAACAGTTAACTGTCAAACTCTAGTTAAATTTAGCCTGGCAGGTTGACACTGATTGGTCTTGCCCTGGCAAATTAACTATAGAACGAAGACTGCTTCGTATTTCATTAAGGTGAAACCAGCACGGTGTGTATACATGTTCTTTCTGTCTGCAAAGAATAGTGTATTAATATGTGTTTTCAGTACAGGCAAGTGTACCACACTGTAAGCATGAATTAATATTTACATTGAAACATTGAAAATAGGAGCAGGAGTAGGCCATCTGACTCTTTGAGCCTGCTTCACCGTTCATTCTGATTACAGTTAATCATCTAATTCAATACCGATTCTCACTTCTGCCCCATTATCCTTTGATCCCTTTAGCCCTAAGAGCTATATCTAACTCCTCCTTGAAGTCATACAATGTTTTGGCTTCGACTGCTTTTTGTGGTAGCAAACTCCACAGGCTCATCACACTCTCGGTGAAGTGATCCCATTGCTAAATGGTTTACCCTGTATTCGTACACTAAGCGACCTGTAGTTCTGGGTTCTCCTGCCATCTGGAACTCTTGCATCTACCTTGTCCAGTTCTCTTTTGAATTTTATATGTTTCTGAGATTCCCCTCATTTTTGTTGAACTCCTAAATTGCTTGATTGTGTAATTCTTAGCACTTTGTTATTTAGTAAATGTTCAATTGCAGAAACTCATCTCAAGTTGAACAGTCTGTTTTGAATTTTGTGAATGAGTAGATTCTCCAGTCTTCCAAACTTAGTCTACTGGTGGATTGTATCAAACAGCATGTCCCTTCAGCTGTCACTTCTAAAATGTCTAGCTGTATTTTCTGTTGATGACGTACACTCTACATTACCCAATCATACCAGAAAGATGGTGTGGATATCTCTGGATGATTTCCTCAAGGCAGTGTCCTAGGCCCAGCAATCTTCAGCTGTTTCATCAATGACCTTTTCTAAACATGAGGTTAGAAGTGGGGATGTTCAATTGCACAATGTTTGCCATTTGCAACTCCTTGCGTAGTAAAGCAGATCATGTTCAAATGAAACAAGGCCCAGAAGATATCCAGGTTTGGGCTGAAAAGTGATAAGTAGCATTTGCGTGGTGCAAATGTTAGGCAATGACCACCTCCTACAAGAGAGAATCTAACCATTGACCCTTGATGTTCAGTGATGTTTTCCATCACTGAGTCATCCACTATCAACATCTGGGGGTTACCATTGGCCAGAAACTCGACGGAACTCGCCATATAAAAGACAAATAGTGGCTAAAAAGAAGAGCAGGTCAGGGGCTAGTCATGCTGCAACAAGTAATTCACCGCCTGACTCTCCAAAGCCCGTCCACCATCTATAATGCACAAGCCAGGAGTGTGGTAGAATATTCTGGTTTTTTTTTCTGGATGAGTGCAGTTCCAACAACACTGAAGAAGCTTGACACTATCTTGGACAAAAGGGTGCACTTGTTTGGCACATCATCCACAAACATTCAGTCACTCCACCATCAACTCTCCGCAGCAATATATGCAGTCTACAAGATTCACTGCAGGAATTCACCAAAGATCCTCAGACAGCACCTTCTAAGCTCATGATGACTAACATCCAGAAGGACACGGGCAGCAGATACATGGCAACGCCACCACCTGCATGTTCCCTCCAAAGGGGAGATGATGCCCCTATTAGTATTATCCCTGGACAATTAATCCAAGGACCTGGGTTCAAATCCTGCCACGGCAGAAGGTGGAATTTGAATTTTTAAAAAAAAAAAAAAAAAAAATCTGCAATTTAGGAGTCTAATGATGGCCACGAATTCATTGCTGATTGTTGCAAAAATCCATCTGGTTCACTAATGTCCTTTTAGGGAAGGAAATAGCCATCCTTACCTGGTCTGGCCTACATGTGACTCCAGACCCACAGCAATGTGGTTGACTCTTAACTGGCCTCTGGGCATTTAGAGATTGCCTCGCCAATGATGCCCTCATCCGGTAAATTTTAAATAAAAAAACCATTCAGCATCCTGACTTGGAAATATATCACTGTTCCTTCACTGTTGCTGGGTCATAATCCTCAAATTCTCTTCCAACGACATTGTAGGTTTGCCTACAGCAAAAGGACCTTCTGTGGTTCAAGAAGGTAGCTCACTACCACCTTCTCAAGGTCAACTAGTGATGCTTAATAAATGCTGGCCCAGCCAGAAATACTCACGTCACACGAGTGAATAAAAAACACACAATTTTTGTTGTGTTGCTTTTGGGATACTACAAATGATTATTTTATATAATGTTTATAATAATAAGGATATCATTTACAAATTTTGTACGGAAGTTTAGCTATGAAGTAGGAGATTCTAAGTCTTTTTAAAAATTCTTTGAAGTGTTTATTCTTTTTAATTCACTTTGTGAAAAGTGTTTTTTAAACTTTTGTTTTGCAGATGGAAGAACTGGTGGATTCGTGGGATCTTGTCACTCGCTATGATTTCATTTTTTTTCCTAATCATCTACCTAGGACCCATAGTACTCATGCTTGTGGTCAGTAAACTAATATTAGTGGAACAATTTTGCTTCTCTAACTTAAAAAGGATGTTTATTAAGAAAATGTCTTGCTGCAAAGCAGCAATTACTCTACTGTAGTCCTAAATTTGAATTTTGATTTTCACTAAATCTCAACTCACCTGATACAAGTTAAATTTGGCTGAACAAAGACAGACACATTTTGCCAAAGCTTTTCATCTTGCACTCATCAGGACAATTCAAAGAGGTACCAGTTCAAGGGAATAATCAGCATTTATTCCTCATGAGACAAGAGAACTGATTGGTTGGTCAGTGAACACTTAATGGTGGAGCCTTTGCCATGGAGGATACACAAATTAGTGATGATTGATAGTTAACTGCAGGCTTCATTTGAATTTAAACCTGACTGGTTTACTCTAATTTAGCAAACTTTTTGTCCAAAGAAATAAGCCAGTGAGTAGCCTTCACCTAATTTGCTGACTTGAAACAGGTAAAGTGCCCACCTGTTCTTTTTTGCCTGTGATGACAGGGCTTTATGTATTAATATTTGTACTTTTTCCAGTGCTTGTTGGTGCCCCACGCAATGAGCCTGAATAACGGTCCTAAATTAGTTCTCAATATAATTCTTTGCACAGTCAAGTTATCCAGCAGTTGGATCAAGTGCTGGTTTTCCATTATTTTCATTGTGTTCTTTTATTAATTTTGCTTTGGAGCAGTGAACCGTGAACTGGAAGCTAAAGATGACATTTGGACTGTGGGTAACAGCTTGTGTTCAAAGGAAAACAGACCAAACAAGCTTTTGTTTATCTGTGAGGCCAGGACTGAAAGTTAATTGCAGTTTGGTACCTTACCAAAGGTTTTGTAGCTGCTTCATCATTGGCAAGAACATGATGTTTAAAAGGGGAGGCAATGATCTAGTGGTATTGTCACTGGACTGTTAACCCAGAGACCCAGATAATGTTCTGGGGACCCGGGTTCGAATCCTGCCACGGCAGATGGTGGAATTTGAATTCAATAAATATCTGGAATTAAGAGTCTAATGACGACCAAGAATCCAAGGTCGATTGTCAGGAAAAACCCATCTGGTTTGCTAATGTCCTTTTTAGGGAAGGAAACTTCCACCTTTGCCTGGTCTGGCCTACATGTAACTCCAGACCCACAGCAATGTGGTTGACTCTCAACTGCCTTCTGGGCAATTAAGGATGGGCAACAAATGCTGCCTAGCCAGTGATGCTCTCATCCCATGAATAAATAAAGAGAAAAACAGATAGCAGAAGTTGACTATTAACGAGGTCAGTACCTGGAACTTGGTTCCAGCAAATCTGGAAAAGAGCTTGCGCTTGAGTAGATGACAGATGTCGAATGGTAATTGGGTCCTCATGGAGGAGATGGCCTGCCTGTTAGGGAGTGGCTAGTTTGAATTGGGTTTTAGACTGTGTTTTCAGGAGAAGGAATGTGGTTGTTGATGGTAGAACTTGTGGATTTGAGATCCTCTGCCCAACCTCCCTTTTCAGCTCTTGGAAGTTAAGAGAATAGAAAACTAAATTATAAATGTTTGCTGCCTTAATCTGAGTGAACAGAAAAGGTGACCCTTATCAACTTTTCAGAAAATCAACCAAGATACCATTATCTCTGTCTGTGGAGCAACTCATTGTGAAAATCATTTAAGTAATCTGGCCAGTTTTGTTGTTTTCTTTTATTTATTCCTTAACCGTGTTTTTCTGTCTGTCCTAGCCCTTGATTGCCTGTCTTGCCTCTGACTGGTACTGCACAATGAGAAAAAACCTAAATGGTTGGGTGAATTGCTAAGCTAGTTTCTAAGAATGGCCCTATCAGTAACCTCATAAATAATTAGCAAGTCATCTCTTCACTCTGCACACCCAATGCTGAAATAGGCTACATCAAAACCATCCTGTGGAATAATGGTATTTCTCATTGTACATTGCACAAACTTTTGAAAGGTCCTGAAGAGTGTCCAGTATACTTGAGAATACCCTGGAACATGAAGATTTCCCAAATGTTTGAGCAACAGATGAAGCTAACAATAGCATTAGCATGAAACATAGTAGTAACACGAGCGGTATTCAGCACTAACAGGATTCTGCCATCAAGCCAAAAAGATGTTCTACTTGACATGCAAGTGTATAAGGTGTGTAGGCCACATGTCCTGAAGACTAGAAGATCTTATCAAACAGCATATCCATTCTGCAGTTCTAAGAAGTCATACTGAACTCAAAATATTAACTGTTTCTGTCTCCTCTGATACTGCCAGACTTGCTGAGTTCACCAGCATTCTGTGTTTGTTTCAGATTCCTAGCATCTTTAATATTTTGCTTTTATCCATCTCACAACAAACAAGGTCAGAAGTCACATGACACCAGGTTATAGTCCAATAGGTTTATTTGAAATCACAGGCTTTTGGAGCACTGCTGCTTCGTCAGGTGACAAACAAGGGACTGAGTGTCCAACCAGGCTATACTTGCAAATCTTACAACAGTGACCAATATTAGATGTGATTCTGCAATTGAACAACATTTAGTGGATAATCCTGCGTGTGCAAAGAATTGTGTTGATAAATTTAAGATTTTCAATCAAACTCGCAGTATGACATACTAATGTCATACAAGCTACATAGATTAAGGTACAAAGTGTGCCTTTGCAGATTGAGCTTGTATGTGTACTGTGCCTTAACAGAATAAATGACTGCCGTTCGCTGGTTCATTGATCAAGGCATTGACCTAAGAAATCAGTCAATTAAAATTTCAACAAGACTTTGGCAATAAACTGTCAATTGTCATTAATTAGATTATTATTACTTAGTACATTCTCCATGGCAATGCCTCTATCAGTGAGTGCAATCTTTTCATATAGTAAAGATATTAGTTTTTCACTTGAATTAGTATTCTTGCAAATTTCCTAATGAGTGTAAGATGGACATATTTTGTTGAAGTGTTTCTTTTTAAGCAATAATTGAATGTAGTGCAACCAAAAGACTCTTTTTGCTATCAGTTGATTAATTTTTGAAGTTTTCTGTAAGATGACTATAGTGTAAGCCCTATACCAGAAATAATATTTCCAACTAAGAGGAGCCAAAACACGTTCTGGTAAGACTACTTGAACAGTTTCATTTGTATTGAAATTGTATTAAAAGTTAAACATTTTGAGAAGGAGAAAAGAAGTGAACAGGATAATGGTAATAAAAATAAATCACTTAAAATATTTTGTTTTTTGAAATTGTTACTGCTAATTGAATATCATTTACAAATTTTCAGGAATAATAATCATGTCTATCTTGTTCTCCTTACTGCTATGATTCTTTCGTTTCACCTCTTTTGTTTTTTCGGTTCTCTCTCCAAACTTCTACCACTATTTTCACCTATTATGTTTATGAACAGTATGTTGTTGCTTTTTCCAATAATCCCTCACCACCACTTTTCACAATTTTTGACTTTACTAAACTATTCACACTTTTCAACACTATCATTGTCTTTTCTGCCAGACTCATCTTCACTCCTTCTTTTACATCTATCTGTTTGAAACTCGATATGCAAGCACATTTGAAACAAAATTATCCCTATCATCATTTACCAAGTTGAACTCGGCTGCATATTGTTTGCTGTGCACTACATTTCTCACTCAATGCTGCATTCCTAGAGTTAAATAAACCTGAACATATAGGTTTCCATTATGAACTATCCCCTTTACCTGTGTCACTAATGTCTGCTGAGACAGCATTTTCTCACCTCTCTACTAGTGTACAGAATTCACCTTGCACAACAATTTGCTTCTCTGGACCCTAGATTGACCAATGCTTAGTGACATATTTGACCAAGGTTTCGCCCTAACATCTCCTTCAGCCATACACTGCTATGGTGGCAACCCTCTCAGCTTTTTCTTGCTTTTATACACAAATTTTAACATTAAGTTCATTCTTTGTTATACTACCACTTTCTCATACTTCTTTCCCTTATTCCCTTGATGTCATCTGTGACACCAAGTGCTGATAAATTAATGTCCTTATTGCGATCATCAATCCTCCCCTCCCCACCCCTCCACTCCAGTTATTATTCTCTTGTAGCATCTTTCTGACTTTTATCTTCCCTGTGTCTACCCCATCCCTGACCTGAGCATGGTGTTATAATCTCGGTTGATGGTACTACAGGACATGGTGATATTCTGACTTGACAATTTAAAAAAAAATTTCAAAGTGGTGATTATTTGCTTAAACATAGTCACACAAGGCTGAAGAGTTACTTTTAAGAAGGAAACATGAGTTTATTACAAAAGAAACAAAAACAAAAAGGTTAGGTGGATTGGCCATGCTAAATTGCCCATAGTATCCAGGGATGTGCAGGCTGTGTGGATTAGGCATGGGAGATGCAGGGTTACAGGGATAGGGTAGGGGCCTGGATTTGTGAGAGATGCTCTTTGGAGGGTTCGCGTGGACTTAATGAGCTGAATGGCCTGTTTCCACACTAGGGATTCTGTGAAAAACAAAAGCTATCTAAATACCAAACACAGTTTGAAAGAAACAGCAAAATAGATTCATCCCTTTCTTGACATTTTCTGTTAGAGGTTCAAATCCATAGAAGTTACCCCTCTACTTTTAAATTTAAATTTGACTTAGTTGATTCATTCCAGTTCTATTTTATGGCCTGTGAAGTCCACTTAGATGAATACTGTCAAAACTGAGACACATGACTTTATCAACTTTTAGTAACCTGCAGATTTCTAACCAAATATTTCTGGTTTGAAAATTTCACAAACAAAGCTTTAATACTGAGGTAAATGTGCTTCCCCTGGATTGCCTTATTTTGTTTCTAGGAAAGTATATTTCCTTCTCATCGCAGTCAAGTTTCCTCTGAACTGTGCTAATGCTTCTAATCTCTGTTTCTGAAGCTAAAATCAGTATTTGATTTATCATAATCCAAATAAAGCGAATGGTCCTCTGTTTATGTCACCTCTCAAAACACAGCAAAATCAATTGTCCATTAACAGTCCGGGGTTCTCTTTTGTCTTACACATAGTGAATTAGGTCACTGTTTTGGAAGAATTTCCTGAGGTAGTTTTTTTAAATACCTTGTTAAATGTTATGGACTCATGTCACATTATCCCTAAAGAAGATTGAAAATGTATCTTGGAGAGACATTTTCATTTACATCTTAAAAAAAATCATTTTTTCTACTGTGTGCTGGTGACCTACCTAGCTTTAGTCCCATTAGTTTGTCAAATACTTTGTCCTCATGATAGACACTCCTAAAAGACATTTTCCTCCTATTAACACCTTACTTATTTGTTATCTTTGGGATGCTTATAGTATCTTTCATTGTGAAGATCAAGGTGAACCATTGGTTTAAAATATCTGCCATTTCTGTTTTCCTCATTGTCATTTCCCCAGTCGCATGCTCCACGTGTCGAACGCCCGCTATAGCTACTCTCTTATATACGTGTAGAAGCTTTTGCTATTTGATTTTCTTTGTAAGCAATTTATTAACATAACCAATCTTTTATCTCTTCTTTTATTAGACGTTTAATCATCTGGTTCCTAAACATACATTCCACTGCCTACTACTAGTTTTCACCACCCTATATGCCTTAGGTTTTGATGGGCTACTATCCTTAACTGCCTTCTGTTAATTCTCATTGAGTACTCCTTTTTGACAGGAACACATTTTTATTGTGTTGTGAAATATCTGCTTAAGTGTTTTCTGCTGCTGATCTGACCTTTCCCTTGGTCTATTTTTCCAGCCTGCTTTAGGCAACTCTTTTCTACATATCCTTGTAATTGCCTTTATTTAATTTGAAGATATTGGTTTGAGACATATTGCTCTCACTCAAACTGAGCTTGAAATTCTGTTTGCTAGACCCTAGAGGATCCTTAACTAGGAGATCGCTTTAATAATCATACCTAATTGAACGTTACTAGATCTAAAAAGAAAACATTTTCCTGCGGAGATTCTGCAGCGCATCATTCTAAGAAACAATCCTGCTGCATTCTACAGTTTGTCTTCCATGTTACCCTTGCCCATCTGACTTTTTTGTCCAGTCAATATGCAAGATAAAATCACCTTTAACAAATGTAGTGGCCTTCTTACACACCTCCGTTATTTCTTGATTTTGTGCTTCTTTCTATAGAGAAACAACTCTTTGGGGGCCTATAAACGTCTCCCAACAATGATTGATTTATTCCTCTTGCCATTCCGTATTTTCCTCGTTATTCCTTACTTCTGCTTAAACTGATTCCACATCACAATTTATTGCACTAACGTTCTTACTCACCACTGCAATGATAACTTCCTTTATTAACACACTATTCCATCTTCTTTTCCTCTTTGCCAATTTTTTTCAGAACAAGTAATAGCCTTAAATATTGGGTTCCAGCTCTGGACACCATGCAACTATGTCTCTGTGATAGATATCAAGTCATGTGCATTTATTTCTATTTGTGGCATCAGCTTATCAATCTTGGTAGAGTTTCATGCATTCAAATAAAGGGCCTGAGGCTTTGATCATTTTTGACTTATTGTAGTTCTAATTTCTACTGAACTCTACTGCATGCAGCTTATAATTTTGTGAACTTTCCAGTCGCACCATGATGATCATTCATGTCTACACTACCCTGCATGTCTGCTTTCTCATTTCCTTTTGATGTTTTAAACTTCCCTTCAAATGAACTTTTCTCACCCCTGACTCCTATCAATTAGTTTAAAGTCCTATCTTACAATCCCAGTTAATGATTCGCCAGGATACTGGTCCCAGCGTGGTTCAAGTGAAGCCTGTGCTAATGGAACAGCACACACTATCCTGAATACTAGTATCGGAACCCATTTCTCCCACAACAGTCTTTGAGCCATGCATTAATTCTCTAATCTTATTTGCTATACATCAACTTGCACATGGCTTGGGTAAAAATCAATTATTACCTTTTGTGGTTCTCCTTTTTTAATTTAGCCCTGTTCATAGTCACTCAGCAGATTCTCTTTCCTAGTCCTACCTATGCTGTTGGTACCTTGGTGGATCAAAACAACTGGATACTTCCACTTCCACTCCCACTCCCATTCCAAGTTTGTCTACAGCACAGAAGAGGCACCGGATAGGCCTCACAGCCTCTGGAACTTCGTCTTTGGTACAGAGGACAGTATCTATTCCCGCAGCTATGCTATGACTTATTACCGTTAACGTTTCTGTCTTCTTCCCTACGTGAATAGTTCTGTACCATGGTGTTGTTGTCAGTTAGTACGTCCTCCCTGCTGTCTGTGCCCTTGTCCACTCCAGGAGCAAGAATCTCATACACAACAGAGCCCTAGGAATGCTCTGTTCATAGTCCATAGAAAGTGGAGTCGCAGGTAGACAGGGTGGTGAAGAAGGCATTTGGCATGCTTTTCTTCATTGGTCAGTGCATTAAGTATAGGAGTTGGGACACCATGTTGTGGTTGTACAGGACATTGGTGAGGCTGCTTTGAGAATATTCTGTTCAATTCTGGTTTCCCTACTATAGGAAAGGAGGTTGTTAAATTTGAAAGGGTTTGAAAAAGATTTATAAGGATGTTGTTGGGATTGGAGGGTTTGACCTATAGGGAGAGGCTGAATAGGCTAGGGCTTTTTTTTTTGACCTAGAGTGTCAGAGATTGAGGGGTGACCTTTATATAGAGGTTTATAAAATGATGATGGGCGCATGTTGGCTTAGTGGTTAGCACTGCTGCCTCTCAGCACCAGGGACCCAGGTTCGATTCCACCCTCGGGCGACTGTCTGTGTGGAGTTTGCACGTTCTGCCTCTGTCTGCGTGGATTTCCTCCGGGTGCTCTGATTACCTCCCACAATTCAAAGGTATGCAGGCTGGGTGGATTGGCCACGCTGAATTGCCCATAGTGTTCAGGAGTGTGTAGATCAGGTGGGTTATGGGGGTGGGTGAGATGCTCCAAGTGTCGGTGTGGACTTGTTGGGCTGAAGGGCCCGTTTCCATACCGTAGGGATTCTATGATTCTGTGAGGGACGTAGACAGGTTGAATAGCCAAGGTCTTTTTCCAGGGTAGGGTGTCTAAAACTGGAGGGCATAGGTTTAAGGTGAGAAGAGAAAGATTAAAAGGGGACCTGAGTGGCAACCTTTTCCGGCAGAGGGTATTGCTTGTATGGAATGAGCTGCCTGAGGAAGTAGTGGAGGCACGTACAATTACAACATTTAGAAGGTGTCAGGATGGCTATATGAATAGGAAGGGTTCAGAGAGATATGGGACTAGATCAGTTTAGGATATCTGGTCAGCGCAGACGAGTTGGACCAAAGAGTCTGTTTCCGCGCTGTATCACACTATAACTCTATATATTGGGTAAAGGTCCTGACTGAGGCTTCTCCAAAGCTTAAATTCTGGATCCCAAAGCCTATTTCACTTGCAGTTGTACCCACCTGTTCCTGACCATGGACCAAATTTAATGCAGTTATTTTAAGGGTTATGACTATTTCTTGAAACAGTGTTCAAGTAACTCTTCACCTCTCTGAGTTATAGTTTCTGCAGCTTAAACTCCAGCTCATCAGCTCTGAGTTAAAGTTCCTCGAGCAGCTTGCCCCGGCACAGATGCAGTCGACCTGAATCATACTGGAGTCCACCTGCTCTCGTGTATTACAGCTGCAACACATTGCCTGCCCAGTAGTGTCTATTTAATTAATTGAGTTGGATGTTTAGTATTTTTAAAGTGAATTTCGTAAATGCCATTTTCACTTGTGATAATATCTCCTGGTTTAAAACAATTGCCTGTTTGATAGAGACGCAAAGAAGACCTACTGATGCCTACCTGTTTTGTTGTGAGATTTGGCTTTGACAGCAGTTTGAAGGGGTTGTCTGTGTTGTCAGTTTTTGTCTCCTGTTGCTGTGGCCCTTATGCAGGTACACTATCTGCATCATGATGATGCCAACTTACTGCAGACTCCTCCCAGACCTGCTGTAAACCATTCTTAGTGTTAAAGTACACTATACAGAATACATTCTGTTTGGATGTTCATAGCAAAATATTACGTATTAGTGCAATCCTATGGCCTAAAGATGACCAAGTAATTAGGTCTATTTAACTGATGGTTTTGTTAGAAATCATTTGAGTCTTTTTGTTGACTCTCCCTGTCATTATGGGAGCTGACCCAATGCCAGCATGCCACTTGTTCCCTGTTTTCCTGGGCTCTGTTTTGTGGCATAACATGGTGTTGCTTTCAAATAGAAAAGTTTCTTTGGTATATTGAGAATTTAATGCTGATTTTATTTTTCTTTATTCTTTTCTGAGATATGGATGTTGCAGACAAGCCAGAGATTTGTTGCCCATCCCTAGTTTTCCTTGAACTGAACAGTTCTCTGGGCCATTTTCAGAGCGCAGTTAAGAGTTAACCACATTACTATGGGTCTGGAGTCAAATATAGGCCAGACCAGGTAAAAATGACAGATTTTCTTCCCAAAGGACGTTAGTGAATCAGATGAACTTTTATCTGAATCAACGTAGTTACTTTTAGGCAATATTTTAATTCCATTTTTTTTTTTTGAGTTCTGGTTTCACATACGGGATTCGAACTCTGATTTCTAGTCCAGCAACGATACCATTGTTGGTATTTGCCTCACCTTGAATTGAACTGATGTTGATACAAATTGAGCACCAAATTGATAGTGTAGTAGCTGAGTCAGTCAAGTGCTTCTGGTGTCAACTGAGCAATCTTGCCTTTCTCACCTGCTGTCCAATTAAAGTTTAGATTTTCCCAGTTGAAGCCCCAATTTTTGTATTTTGAATTTTTGTAACTGGAGTGATTTAAATGTCTTAGAATCTATTTTGAATATACACTAATTTTTCATATTCTCTTTTAGGTTCTGTATGTTCAAATCAAGTGTTTTCATGAGATCATCACTATTGGTTACAGAGTTTATCATTCTTATGAACTACCTTGGTTCAGAACATTGAGCTGGTGAGTTTGGTCAAAATAAATAAAGTGCACTTTTATTACTTGCAGAAGAGCAAGGGAGACATGATGAGTCATGTTTCTTAAGTGTTCAGTGTAAAAAATGTAGTAGGAAAGTCAAGCTTATTTGATTCTGAGTGAGCCATGAACGCGGCACTTAAATAAAAATATCTTGATAGCAGTGCCACTTGTGGCTTCGTCTCTTTTCCTTCCTTCATTTTGTAATTCTGTGCATCTTTTGTCATAGCTGTCACCGTAAACATATTGAAAATCAAAATTAATCGAAGGGCAAAAAGCCCAAACCTCTGGATATCACCATTTGACTGTACTGTATTAGGGAATTGGGCAGTGATCCAGGCAGAGTAAATCAGCCAATCAGAAGTTTAACCCATAATTACATATAATCTTGCCATCAAGATCTTTTCATGGTCCCAAGGCGCAACAGTGACTGATGGAGGTCGACAAATGACTTGTATCAGATGATTCAGGCCTTGGTTTTGAATAGATAAAGTTCCCAAAATATTTGTTGCAGTGCACCAGTCAGTAGATTCATTGGAGTTTTGAATTATTTAGCCAAAATATATGATTTAAATTGAAAAATGTTAAAATGAAATTACTCAGTGCTCTGGAGTTGGAACTAATCTTGAGAGAAGTCATGAGCTCATCCTTTGTCTTGTATATCGCGGCTGTGAAGAATGGTTGGATTGACTTGCAGTTTTCAGCTTTGAAAGAAGGCATCTGTGAAATTTATTCATAGTATGATGGGATGTAAGGTGATTTATGTATCCGTTTTAATATGATTTATTTTAACGTTTGGAATTTAAACAGTGGCAAAAAGATATTGTCTGTATTCATGAAGGCAATAAGACCAGAAGATATAGAATTAGGCCATTTGGCTAATCGAATCTGCTCCTCCATTCGTTTGATCATGGCTGATGTGTTACTTAACCCCATTCTCCTGCCTTCCCCCGTAACCCTTGATCCCCTACTAATCAGGGACCTATCTATCTCTAGCTTAAAGACACTCAAAAACTTGGTCTCCAACGGCCTTCTGTGGCAATGAGTTCTAACCTCTGAAGAAATTCCTCTTCATCTCAGTTCTAAAGGGTTGTCCCTTCACTCAGAGTCTGTGCCCTCAGGTTCTGGTCTCTCCTATTAGTGGCAACATCATCTCCACATCCACTCTATTGCGGCCCCTCCATATACTTTAAGTTTCAATCAGATCCCCTCTCATCCTTCTCAACTCTGAGTACAAACCCAGAGCCCTCAACCGCTCCTCATGACAAGCCTTTGATCCCTGGCAATATTCTTATAAATCTGCTTTGGACCCCCTCCAATGCCAGCATGTCCTTCCTTAGATATGGGGCCTAAAACCACTCGCAATATCCTATAGGCAACCTGACCAGAGCCTTATATAGCCTCAGCAGTACATCTCTGTACTTATATTCTGTTCTCGTAATGAATGCTAACGTTGCATCTGTCTTCCTATCTGCCAACTGAATCTATGCGTTAACTTTAAGAGAATCCTGAACTAGGACTTCCAAGTCCCTTTGTGTTTCAGATTTCCAAAGCTTTTCTTTTTTTAGAAAATAGTCTATGCCTTTCTTCTTCCTACCAAAATGCATAACCTCTCACTTTCCCACGTTAAATTCTATCTGCCTCTTCTTTGCCCACTCTCCAAGACTGTCCAAGTCCTTCTGCAGCCTCCTCACTTCCTCAATCCTGCCTGTCCCTCCAACTATATTTGTGTCATCTGAAAACTTGGCGAAAATGCCTTCAGTTCCTTTGTTCAGATCGTTAATGAATAATGTGAATAGTTATGGTCTCAACACTGACCTCTGAGGAACTCCACTAATCCTGACTGCCATCTTGAAAAAGACCTTTTTATCCCCTGTCTCTGCCTTCTATCTGTCAGCCAATCCTCTATTCAAGCCAGTACATGTCCCTAATATCATGGGTTCTTATCTTATTTAGCAGCCTTCTGTGTGGCACCTTGCCAAAGTCCTTTTGGAAATCCAAATGGATCATATTTGCTGGCTGTCCTTTGTCTAACCTTGCTTGTTACCACCTTAAAGAATTCTAACAGATTTATCAGGCATAACTTCCCCTTGACTCAGCTCTGTTTTACCATGCACTTCCAAGTGCTCCTCAATCTTCTCCTTTTAACAATGTACTGTAAACTCTTACCAACCTCCAAGGTCAGGCTAACCAGCCTATATTTTCCTGTCTTCTGCCTCCCACCCTTCTTAAACAGGGATGTTGCATTAGCTATTTTCTAGTCCTCTGGGACTCTCCCTGACTCCGTTCATTCCTGAAGGATCACCACCAGTGCCTCTGCAATTTCCTTAACTGTCTCCTCTTTCAGTACTCTGGAGTGTAGTCCATCTGTCCAACTTCAGACGTTTCAGCTTCCCCAGCACCTTTTCTTAGTGAGGGCCACTCTGCCCCCTTAATTCTCTTGAAGTTCTTGTATTCTGCTGGTGTCTTCCACCATGAAAACTGATGCAAAGTACCTATTCAGTTCCTCTGCTATTTCTTTGTTTCCCATTAGTATTTCTGCAGCCTCCATTTTCCAGTAATCCAATGTCCACTCTTGCCTCTCTATAACCTTTTTAGATATTTAAAAAAAGTCTAGAAATCATCTTTTGTATTGCCAGGTAGCTTACTGTCATATTTCATCTTCTCCCCCCTTATTGCTTTTTTTAGTTGGTCTTTGTTTTTTAAAGGCTTCCCAATCCTCTAATATTCACCATATTGTATGCATTTTATTTTGCTTTCATGCTGTCTGTGTCTTCCCTTGTCAGCCATGGTTGCCTTAATGATCAACTTTTAAGTATTTTTATAGCCGTGGTGGTTTCTTTTCTAAAAAGCATAGTATGAGAGATACTTACTTCCTTAAAGAGTATTGGAGTTTTGTTTTTATTGGATGAGTTTACAAGAGTAGAGTAAACAGTTGTGCAATGGGCTTCAGTTAGAAAGTTCCAGAATTGATTGATTTTTTTTTTGGCTTAGGGCAAAAACACCCATAGCTTGAAGGAAACTGTACTTTGGTTTTGGTTTTGAAGTAGTCTTGGCTAAAGATGGATGCAAAGGACAGTTGCTCCTAAAGAAGAAGGTAGTTTAGAATGTTAAGAAATAGATTATCTCTGTGTAAGGTGCCTAATTTAGGCCAGACGAGAAGTGTTTCATTAAAACCCAAAAGATGTTATTTGAAGCTGAGAAAGTCTGTGCCTCTTCCTTAAGCTTTTATACAACTCAGCAATCTCTGTTCAAGTAAGCACTGCCACAGCCTCATGTCTTATTCTGTATGGCTTTTCCTAGCATAGCCAACCCTTTTTCAACTATTCACACTATCCGTTACAATCCATTCAGTATTCTCTCTCGGCAATCCCTTTATCTGCTTCTTCTTTTCTTCCTCTCTGTCTCTGGGCATTGTCTCCATCTATTCGACTCATTCCTTCCCCCACTCAACCACCCTTTAACCCCACTCACTCAACCCCCTCATCAGCATAACTACCATCCATTTCCCAGCTGCTTTCAGTTCTGATGAAGGGCACTAGAATCATTAATTTTGCTTTTCACTCCTCAGCAGGTTCAGCAACTTCTGTGTTTCTCCAGCACTTTATTTTTTGCGTAGAATGGTTAGATTTGTGTCCTTCTAAAGCAGAGCTTTGAGATTTCTTTATAGGCTTTTTAAGTTCATAAAATTTACAGACAATAAAATTATTCTTTATAATAACATATTCTTTACAAAAAGTTAGGGACGATCGTGACAGGACCTAATTCACTATTATCATATGCTAAGAACATACAAATTTGACAGCGTACAAAATTGCTATCTCTTGGTTTGAAAAATACTGTCAACTGGCTGGATCTTCTACTTTATATTCTGCATTTTCATAAAGTGTAAATTCATTTTTAAGTTGAATCACTTAGTTAATGATTGTAATAGTAACAATTCGGAAAAGACTGTAAAATTTCAGAATGATGTAAAAGAACTAGTGATACAAAGCAACAGCAATGAAGTGTCAAATTAATTTAGATATAAAGTTATTCTGCAGTTCAAGGCTGTTACTATATCATTGATTGTTGAGGTTGAGAAACTTGTTTTACTCTTTATTTCAATTCAATAATGTTTCAATACACTTTCTCCAAAATTGTTAATTTTTATCCCCCTGAAACCGTCTCTCAGGAGATGTAAACAATGACTGACTCGTAAATGTTCTTACAGAATTTATCTATGTATGTATCTGTGAATTTGGACAACGAATTTATAGCTTATGGATGCAGAAGCAAGATCATTGTCCTCTAAAATTTATTCTTTCTTGAAAAATGGACATTCCTGGCAAGACCAGTATTTATTGCCCATCCCTAATTACCCTTGAAGTGAGTGATTTGTAGGCCATATGAGGGCAGGGAAGACCCATTGCTGTGGATCTGCAGTCACATGTAGGACAGACCAAGTAATGATGGCAGATTTCCCCATCAAAAGACATCAATGAAGCAGGGAGATTTTTGCAGCTGTCAATGGTAGTTTATGGTCACTTAGTGAGACTCACTTTAAATTCCAGATTTATTAATTGAATTCAAATTTCACCAGATAGTGTGGTGGAATTTGAACGCATGTCTATCAATGATTCACCTGAGTCTCTGATTACTAGTCCAGTGATATTACCACAACAAAGAGCCATATTTGAGTTTATCACTTTGAATTTCCATGAAGACAGAGGTCAGGGATGGGGCAGGGTGTGGTGGTCGCTGCGGTGGTTGTGGTGTGGTGGAGGGAGCGGGTCTCTAACCTAGCCAAAGAATTTCCTGAGCCCTGATTCTGGAAGCTCTAACCACAAATGCAGCAGCCATCCTCTTTGCCGGAGTTTGCTTCTGTGAACTGTAGGCATGCAATGGTACATGTTAACGTGCAGCTGCCTTCAAACAACAGATCCAATTTTCACTAGTAGGATGTCCAAAATACACCTTGATATTTCAGGAGCAGGTCTAAAGATGTGAGTTATTTGGAGATTTTGGGAGGTGTCCAGGGGCACCTTTTGGGGTTAAAAGTAGACATGCTTGTGTTTTTAAAAATAGCTCTGAGTTTACTGAGGAAACTGTCTAGTTGTCAAGACATTTAAATCTCCTGGCATTTATTATTTGTTCTTTCTAAATAAAAACAATACACAGTCCATTGGCATAAGCCTGAGGATTACCATTATAGGACATGTACTGGACAACTGAACTTATAACCTGCAATTATCACAGGGATACCTTTTAGTTCAGGTGTGGTTGAAAGCTTCAAATGATTATTTAGTATTTGGTGTAGATGATGAATATAACTGTTTTTAATAAGGCTTATGTTTTAGAGCTTAAATATAATTACTTAGATTTATCATAGTGTATCATGTTAACGTAGTGAAATCATAACTAGGATAGAATAAAGTCCTCATGTCTATCAGCGTGGATTCTGAGGCCTGGTCATAGTGGATACTGGATAAGTTGGCATGGAGGACATAAAGGCAAAGTGTGGTGGTGAAGGTATGGGTTGACATGCTCTATAGGGACTGTAAGGGCTGTGTTAAGGGTGGGTAGTGGACAGGATTGTAAGGAGGAAGTGAGACCAATGGTATGGATGGGCGCATAGTTTGGCAGGGAGATTATTAATGCCTAGAGGGCATAGATGAGCATGGAGGTTATGAAGAAACAGGGATTTTTTTGGAGGACCATGAGATGGCATGGGTACAGTGATAGGGGAGTATGTTAGGGTGATGGCAGGAGAACTTTTTTTTTTAATATAGAGTTGTGCTGGCTCCTCAATCACTGAGTCAGGTCTTCCACATAGCCTACCTTGGGCCTGAATTCCATTCTCACACACCTAAACCAGAAATAGACCATCTGAGTAATTTTCTCTGTCCTGGAGTTTGTGAAGCTAGGCATTTTCAGAACTTTGCTTCCCTAACCTGATAACTATATTTAACTCTATATATTTGTAGGCCATTCTTCATTCCCATGCCAATTGTTCAACTTATTGTATTTACAGTTGCTTTCAAACATAGTTTCACAGTTTTATTGAACAAGGAATGATGTTTAATGAAGATTGAGGAAAGTTAGAGAACATATTTTTGAATGGGGGGGAAAAGCTATTAGCAGCAGAAGAGATACAGTGTAAAATGTGTGCTTTGCCTGGACAGTTTATTGGCTCATTATCTGATGCTTCATCCTATGTTATTTTCTTGGCAATTTTTAAGTGATCTTTACCATTGCTTCCCGTTCTCAAGCAGGACAAGGAGACAGGTTTCATGTCTATCTCAGTCAGATGATGACTCAAACCCACATTGCTGACGTTTTTCTGAACACACGCTAGTCATCTTGCCATCTGAATGAACTGAGCACTTTGCAGCCTGTATCCTCTCTATTAAATTGGCACTCTGCTTTCACTCATTGCATTGCATCTTCAGTATTACAGATTTTATCAACTAAAAGTACATGAAATGTGAAATAACTTATTCGGCTATTTGGTCCATACTGTGGTGGTGGTGTGACCAAATGAGGAAAGGGTAGACTGGTTTCCTGTTCCTCCCACTGCTTGTTTGATAGGAACACAGTTTTGAATTTAAATAGGATGTAATTGCAAATTCATTGTGTACTTGTTTCTTCAAATGCACTTTATAAAGAATTAGACTTTCTTGTGTGTAACAAGTAATGTGTCAGTTTTGTTGAGCTAAAACCCACCCAGCTAAAAAACCAAAAAAGTGAAAAATATGTCCTTGCTTATATAACTCTCATGCAGCAAAACACGCAAACACACTCAGACCACATATGCAAAAAATACAAATTGTAAAGTAGAGAAGATTAACTTTAGCCAAGTGCAAAAAGAAAGCACACACAACTTCAAAACGGTGAGCTATAGACAAAACAGGCATGGGAAAGTTTTGTTTTAAAATAAGCAAGAGTCACAGCAGCTGCATTGCTAAGTCTCTACATGGAATAGCTTTAAACTTCTCCTGTAAACCCTCCATAGGTCAATGTTTGCAAAGCACAGGGAATGTCAGGAAAGTTGATAGGAAAATGACTATCATGAATTGGAAGACACAGATGTTCTATCTTAATTTAGGATGTTTGTACTTAGTGCAGAGTTTTTTTTAATGGCTATTTTAGAACTGGATAAGAAAGTGGCGAAAATAAAGATGGCCATTAGAAATTAAGTGATGCACAGAGTAAACATTTAAGGCCTGTCTGAACAGGACCGGTGAGGTCCTGCTAAGTGATGGGAAATACCAGAGGACCAACCTCCTGTATATGTGAATTTTAAAATTCACCATATGCAGAGGAGGTGGTGGAGGCTGGTACAGTTACAATAGTAAAAAGGAATCTGGATGGGTACGTGAATAGGAAGGATTTAGAGGGATACAGGCCAATTGCTGGCAAATGGGATGAGATTAATTTAGGATATCTGGTTGGCATGGACGAATTGGACTGAAGGGTCAGTTTCCGTATTGTACAACTGTGACTCTGTATATAACTTGTGTCCTCCAGGGAATAATGAATTTTTGTTCAAGGGGTTAAAACCAGCATTCCTTGCCTATCTGTAATTGCCTTAGAAAGGTGATGGTGGACTGCCTTCTTGACCTGCTGCACTTCAGGGGTTGTTGTGACAGCCACAGTACTTTTAGGAAGGGAGTTCCAGGGATTTGACCTGGTTATTGTGAACAAAGTGATTTAGTTCCAAGTTAGGATTATATGTGGCTTGGAAGGGTACTTGCAGATGGTGGTGTTCCCGTGCATCTCCTCCCCTTGCTCTTCTAGGTGGTAGAAGTTGCAGGTTTGGTAGGTAGTGTCAGAGGAGCTTTGGTGACTTCTTGCACTGCACCTTGTAGGTGGTACACCTTGCTGCCACTGTGTGTCAGTGGTTAAGGGAATGAATGATGAAGGTGCTGAAGGGGTACCAATCAAGTGGGCTGCTTTGACCTTGATGTTCAAATTAGTGTGTTATTGGAGCTACATCCAACAAGGCAAGTGGAGAGTGTCCCATCACACTGCTGACTTGTGCCTTCTAGATAGATGGATAATAGGGAGGTGGGAAATGATTTACTTGCCTAGAATTGCTAGACACTGACCTGCTCTTGGTCCTGGTCCTCTTCAGTTTGTGTTCATTAGTAACCCCTAGGATGTTGATATGGGGTCTTTAGTGATGTTAGTGTGATTGAATGTTAAGGAACAATGGTTGGATTCTCTGTTGTTGATGATGGTTGTCGTTTGCCACTTAAGTAGTACAAGTGTTATTTGCTATTTGTCAGACTTCGCCTGGGTATCATCTCAGACTTGATGCATATATATTTGTGAACTGCTTCAGTACCTTGGGTATCACAAATAGTGCTGAATATTGTGCGATTGTCGGTGATTATCCCTTTTTCTGATCTAATGGAGGAAAGATTATGAACGAAATGGCTGAAGATGATGTTTGGGTCTAGGACACTACCTTGAGAAAGTCACATGTCCTAGGGCTGAGATGACTGCTGTTAATCACAACCATCTTTCTTGTTAGGTATGCTCCAGCTGAGTGTTTTACGCTGATTCTCAATGACTCCTGTTTTGCTAGGGCTTTTTGATGACATGTTTGATCAAATGAGGCTTTGATGTTAAGAGCAGTCACTCTTTCATGTCACCGCTGGAATTCAGCTCTTCAGCCCATATTTGGGCCAAGTTTGTAATGAGCTCTGGAGCCAAGTGGCCCTGGTGGAACCCAAACTGAGTTTTGGGCAGCTGTGTGAGATGAATGAATTTAAAGAAAGTTCAAGTTGAAAATATTGTCCAACTTAAAATAACCAAGTATCAAGCATTAATGAAAAATTTTGATGTGAATCCATATTTTTTTTTTGGGCAGGTACATTCTTCTCTGTGTAAATTATTTCTTTTACGGAGAAACAGTCGCTGATTATTTTGGTGGTCTGGTGCGAAGGGAAGTGCCACTTCAGTTCCTGGTCCGCTATCACCGCTTCATCTCGTTTGCTATGTACCTAGCAGGTGAGTAAAGTTTAGTATATTTCCAAAGTTGTATTTGATTTACCAGAAATCTTTACTGTGTACACAATGAGTCTGAACTTGTTTCTTGTGATTTAAAGAATAATGTAGATTTTTTTTTTTGAACAGAACACTTCTCCAATTTTTCATAGTTCAGCAGCACTGTTGAGCTTTTTGCAAAACGCACTTTTTTTTTTTAAGCAGAGACTGTGAAACATCCTTTTGGCTGTTAACAATATGTATAATTTTTTTCAGAGGAAATTGTCACCCTCTGGTCTGGAGTGAGGAGTTTCTGATAAACATTTTGCATGAACAAATACATCAAGTTTATGTTGCTATTTTTCTGAAACAACAGTTCGCCATTTATTTAACCTTGATCAAAAGCAATCAATGGAAATTGAAGTTCATCTTGCTTCTATGCCCGTAAGGTGTGTGCATGTGTAGCTATATATCAGGTTAATAAATTTAATTGGTAAAATGCATTGTATCTTAGTAATTTGATCATTGAAGTTAAAAACAAATCCAAACCTGCTTTTTCACTTTTACAAAGCTTGTGAAAACAAGCATTATGATTGAAAATACTTTTTTGAAGTTCAGCGTAGAGGTGTCATCATTTTCAGATTTAAGTTAACCCCATCTTAAACGTTTATTTTTTTATTCAGTCATGGTATGTGGTGTTGCTGGCTGGGGTAGCACTTGTACCCATCCTTAGTTGCCCTTGAGAATGTGGTGGTGTGTTACTGCCTTGTAACCTGTTTGGTCTGAGTAGACCTACAACGCTATTGGAGAGGGAGTTCCAGGATTTTGACTCAGCAACACTGAAGAAATAGAGAGAGTAAGAACTGCCGATGCTGGAGTCCGAGATAACACACAGTATGGAACTGGAGGAACACAGCAGGCCAGGCAGCATCAAAGGAGCAGGAAAGCTGACGTTTTGGGTCGGGACCCTTTTTGGGGCCTTGGATCCTTCTTGACTTTTCAGAGAACTGCAAAAATTCACCAAGCATCATTGGTGGAGCAAGCAAATGTTTGCAGATGTGATGTTAATTAAGTTGACAGCTTTGACCGGATTGTGTAGAGCTGCTTCTGAGTGTTGTTGGACGAACGCTTTCCAGGCAGCTCTGATTACAACTCTGACTTGTGCTTGTGGATGGTGAACAAACTTTTGGGAAACAGGAGGTAAGTTACTCACTGCAGGATTTCTAACCTCTGACTTGTCCTTGATACCACGATGTTTATTTAGCTACTCTGGTTCAGTTTCTGGTCAATGGTAATCTCCACAATCTGCAATGGTGATGCTATTAAATGCAAAGGGCAATGGTTGGACTCCATCCCTTTGGCTGTGATCATTGCCTAGCAGTTACGTGGCACAGATATTACTTTGCCACTTGTCATCCTATACGTGGATGTTGTCCAGGTCTTGCTGCATTTGAATTTGGTCTGCTTCGGTATCTGATTCATTTGTGAATGATGCGTTCATAAGCAAATGTGCCCACTTCTGACCTTATGGAGGAAGGGTCATTGATGAAGCAACTGATGCTGATTGGGCATGGAGTATTATCCTGAAGAACTTAGATATGACTCAACCAGCAGAGAGTTTTCCCTCTGATCCCCAGTGACTCTAGTTTTGCTGGGGATCCTTGACAAAACACTTGGTCAAATGCAGCCTTGATGTCAAGAGCAGTCACACTTGCCTCGCCTGTGAAATTAAGCTCACATAGATGTTTGAACCAAGACTGCAATTAGGTCAGAAGCTGAGTGGTTTTGGTGGAACCCAAATTGAACATTGAGTTAGGAAAGTGCTGTTTGATGACAATGATACCGTTCATCACTTTACTGATATTTGAGATTCAACTGATGGGGCAATAATTGACCAGCTAGAATTTGTCCTACTACTTGTGTACAGAATGTTGATGGGCAATTTTGCCCAATGTTGCGTAAAAATCAGTGATGGAGCTGTACTGGGAAAAACTTTGCTAAGAGTCCGATGAGTTCTGGAGCACGCATCTTTAGTACTATTGCCAGAATGTTGTCAGGGCCCATAACCTTTGCAGGACCCGGTGTCTTCAGCTGTTTCTTGATATCAAATGAAGTGAAATAAATTGGTTGAAGACTGGCATTAACAACTTGACATTTCTGGCTCAAGATTGTTGTAAATGCATCAGCCTTATCTTGTGCACTTATGTGCTGGACTCCCCTATTACTGAGGATGGGGATACTTGTGGAACCTTCTTTGAGTTCATGACTGGATGTGGCTGGGCTGCGGACTTTGATTTGAACCATTTGGTATGGAATTACTTAGCCTTATCTGTCACTTGTTATTTATGCTGTCTGGCATGCAAATAGTCCTGTTTTGTGGCTTTACCAGGTTGACACCTAACTTTTATGTAGGTATGCCTACTCCTGACACACCTTCCTGCTTTCTTCTTTGAATCAGCATTCATTCCCTGGCTTGATGGTGATGTTAGAGTAGGATATAATTTGGGCCATGAGGTTGCAGTTGTGTTAGAGTTCAGGTTTGCTGCTGCTGATGGCCCATGACGCCTCTTGATTTGCTAGATCTGTTCAAAGTCTATCCTATTTAGCATGATGTTAGTGCCACACAACACGACAGACAGTATTTTCAGTGTGAGGGTTAGACTTCATCTCCACGACTGTGCAGTGACCACACTTAATGGTACTGTCATGGACAGGTCCATCTGCTGCAGGCAGATTTGTGAAGGTGATGTCATTTTTCTCTTGTTTGCCTCGTCACTTGCCACAGACCTCAGCAGGAGCTTTCCTTGTTCATGTTTGACTTGATGCCATAAGACATCATGGTGTTCAGAGTCAATGTTAGGGACTCCCAGGACAACTCCCTCTCAATTTCTTGACCACTATGCCCCAACCTCTGCTTGGTCTGACCTGCCATTAGAATGCAATTAACCACTTTCTGCCACCATTTGCAATAAGCTGTTGCCTCTAACCAGTTACTGAAAAACAAATTATTCTGCAGTTACCCTCTGTCTGCATAGTAAAGAACTGAAATACCTTGGGATGTTTTAGCTTGTAGGGTTATAGAGTAATTCATAATTTTATTTGTCTGTAGTTAGAATTGATTTCTTTGTAATAAAAGATAGTTTCTGAACATCAGAAACTTGGTCAGTGCTTTCTATTAACCTGAGTTCATTGACAGAAAAACTGGGAACTTTGAGTGATTTGATTAATTATTTTAACTTTTGTGATGACTCCAGGAGTGGTGGGATTGAGTATGAGTGCATTTACCCATGTGGGTTGTGGCAACAGTGAAAGGACAGACAAATAACCTCCGCCTTCATATCTTCTTGCCATGAAACTGATGCTACCTGAAAAGCTTCCAGTTTTGTTTTGAATTTAGTGCATGAAAAAAGACCTAGGTGATGATGCCTTGTTTTATTGTTCGTTTCTCTTCCTCTTTCCTTTCTTCCTTCCCTGTAGAGAAACCACCAAATCCCTAATGAGCATCTGCACGTTAAGGCACAAGGCCAAATTGCAACTTTGGAACAAAAACAAAGCTGCTGGAAAAGCAGCTGAGGAAGGGTCACCAGACCTGAAACGTTAACTTTGTTTTTTTTCCTTCACAGATGCTGCCAGACCTGCGGCAACTTGTTTTTGTTCCTGATTTACAGCATCTGCAGTTCTTTCGGTTTTTATTTAAGATTGCAACTTTAATGTTTGGAGAGTTGCACAAGAACTTCTGTTCTTGAATTCCATTCCACAGAAAATTGATGTCTAAACTGATTTGTCAACTTAAATTTTTATTCAGTTTTTGTCTACAGTGGTGACATTGAATGAACAGTTTGTGATGGAATTTGTTGCCGTAAATGATTAAGAAATAATAGAATTTCACCCTAGAATTTTCAGGAAGGTGAGATGTACGACTTCCATTGTGATTTACGAGCATTTCACATTAGCCTCCCCCCTAGACATTGAGGAGATCAGTAAACATTTGCTCTTTTACGCTCTATAAAGTAAAAAGCGTTAGTAAAATATCAATTGTTAAAGAACTTTTAAAATGATGGCCCTTCAGGCAGTAAGCTTCTTTTAACTACAGTTGAGTATTGGTTTGAATGACTAACAATAATTAAGAAGTTATGAAATTTGCCTCTACCTGAGATTTGCATGAGATGGTTTATTAGAATGGCTCTCACTGTAATTTTCATGTATACTTCTGTTGTATATTATGAAGGCTAATATATTTCTTGCTGTCACTTTACAGGCTTCTGCATGTTTGTACTGAGTTTAGTGAAGAAACATTACCGACTGCAGTTTTATATGGTGTGTATGCAATATTTTCTTCATAGTTGTCAATGAGCAGGAAAATTCTTCATAGTGCTGCAAGTTTTAGAAATGTTTTCTGTAGCACATGACCAACTAGACTCAGATGATCTAACTGGGGGCATGTGGCACATAACAAGTCTGATCTCTTGGTTTAAGATTAGCGCAGAAAAGTTTGTTTGCCTCAATACTAAAATTCCTAAGTAAAATAAATGGAACAGTGGGATCCCAGTTCTGGACAAGTACAGATTCACGACACAAACGTACTGGTAATTTGGCACATGTTAATTCTAAAATTAGCGCTTTATTCAGAGGTCATAAGAATCATATGGAAAGTAAAAAGGTTTACCTCAGTGTAGTGCTTGTTAGGATCATGTTACGAGGTTGAAGAAGACAGACTCTTTTGCTTGTGTTATATATGCAGCAGTTATCTGTGCCATTTTAGACCAGATTAGTTGGAAATTTCTAAAATTTAAAATCAGACACTAGAAATCTATTGTTCAAGAGAAATGTATTTTTTTGTATCTTCGTCGTATAAAAGCATCCTTATGATTTTTAATTAAATTCCACAACAACAAGGAAAGCATACAAATTAAAACTGTGATTCCACTCACTTAAACTCTTTCCCTGCTCAGTGTCAACATGTCAGAAAGTGGTGGCTTGATCTGTACAGTGACAAATAAGTTAAATAGTCTCCTTGCACGTCTGGTATTGAGTTGATAAATCATTTTGTTTGAACTTGGTATCCGAACGTTTAAATCATTAAAATCATCAAATGGACATTTGATCTTGATTTCAATTGTGTTGACTGTTCTAACATCGAGAACCTGTCTCGTCAGTTTGTGGCAAACTTATACAGTGAAATGAAGCATAATATCCTTGAGCTTTGTTGAATTCCCATTGTAGTGAAGCACATCACCCCAAAACCCTACTTGATTGCATGGTGTAGCTGCATCCTAACTTCATGCGACTTATCCATGCGTGAGAGATATTTTAAGATCCCATTTGTTTCAGTAAATTATAAATTTCTTAACAAATTTTAATCATTCAGCCATAATACATGACACAAAATGTCTGTGTTCTTCAAATTTGCTTCTGTTGTGTTTGATTTCATAATTGCTGTATTTAGAATTTTATGCAATGGGAGATCAATGCATGAATCAGATATGCAACAGTGTTTGAATATTAATAATATGTCACATTGATGCTCCATAATTTTTGAGAGAACATTTTGTTTCTCTTCTAGATTCTCTGTTCAATTTTCTTCTCTTAAAGGTGGTAACTTGCGTTAGAACTTAATTCCATGGTGGCCTCTTTCATGAATAAGCTTAATAAAAATTTCTGGCATGCTGTTTACTTATGGGCCTTTAACCAGAGGCTGTTATCCACAGCTGGCACTCACAAGTTTGTGGTTCCTCAATTTTTATTTAAAGTAAGGATTGCTGTGATACAGTTTCATTTTACCAACAGTCTGCCAGGTATGTCATTCAGTCAGTAATTGTTAACATCTGCTTAGCAACTTGCTAACTGGCCAATCTGGGTTCCGTCAGGGCCACTCAACTCCTGACCTCGTTACAGTCTTGGTTCAAACTTGGCCAAGAGTGCTGAATTCCAGAGCTGGGGCAAGAGTGACTGCTGTTGGCATCAAGGCTGCATTTGATTGAGTGTGGCATCAAAGAGCTTTAGCAAAATTGGAATAAATGGGAATCTGGGCAACCTCTCTGCTTGTCAGAGTCCTGCTAGGCTCATATGAAGATCGTTATGGTTGTTGGAGGTCAGTCATCTCAGCTCCAGGGCATCTCTGCAGGAGTTCTTCATGGTAGTGACCTAGACCCATCTTTCTTCAGTTCCTTCATCAATGACCTTCCTTCTATCATAAGGTCTGAAGTGGGATATTCGCTAACGATTGATGCTGAACTTTGCACATTCGCCACTCTTCAGATGCTGAAGCAGTCTGTATTCAAGTGCAGCAAGACTTGGACTATATCCAGGCTTGGGCTGAAATATGGCAACATTTGTGGATCTCATGCCAGGCAATGACCATCTCCAATAAGAGACATTTAACTATTGCCCCTTGGTATTCAATGGGGTTACCGTTGCTGAATTTCCCAATATCGACTTCCTGGTGATGACCATTGACCAGCAACTCCACTGGATTTGCCACCTCCAGTCTTCTCAAGGGCAGTTAGTGGATAGTAAATGCTGGTCAGCCAGTGATGTCCACGCCCTTTTAGAACATAAAGAGCTTGGGTAGCATATACTACCCATTCACCCGCTTCCACTTTGATTATATTCTCATTCTCTGCCTACTCATATTTACACACAAACATATGAAATATGACTAGAACTCAGCCATCCAGCTTCTCAAGCCTGCTCCACCATATAACAAGACCATGGCTGATATACATGTATTTCAATTCCATATTCCGATTTTGCCCCCAGCAACCTTCAGTTTCCTTGCTTAACAAGAATCTGTCTATCTTTGCCTTAAAAATATTCAACAATCTCATGATAAGCTGGTCTAGAATGTTCAACCATATGTGATCCACGGTGAGTTGGTCAATTGTCTTCTGTGACCAAGCCAATCTTGTATCCAGAGGGCAGTTGTGGAGGGATGTATTTCTGATTGAATGTGGTATTCCACAATGATCAGTGCTGGGACCTCTGTATATAAGGATGAAAATGTAGTCTTCTGATTAGTAAGTTTGCAGACAGCACAAAAATTGGTGGAATTGTTGATGGTGAGAAAGATTGTTAAGGATGCGGTGTGATCTAGATCAGTTGAAAAGTTGGATGGATAAATGGCAGATGGAGTTTATTTTGGACAAGTGTGAGGTGATGCATTTTGAGAGTTCAAATCCAAGAGGAAAGTATAAAGTAAATGGCAGGACCCTTAGGGGCATTGATATACAGAGGGATCTTGGGATGCAAATCCATAGCTCCCTGAAAGTGGCAACACCAGTAGTAAAGATGGTGTATGGCAGCTTGTCTTCATCAGTCGGGGCATTGAGTATAAAAGTTGGCAACTTGTATGGCAGCTGTATAAGACTTTAGTTAGGCCACATTTAGAGAACTGTGGGAAGTTCTAGTTGCCACATCATAGACAGAATGTGGAACCTTTGGAAAGGTGCAAAAGAGGTTTACTAGGATGTTGCCTGGATTGGAATGTATTCTCTATAAGGAGAGGTTGGATAGACCTGGATTGTTTTCATGACTGTGTCATGAAAGGGGGAAATTTAAAGATATGCGAGGCAAGTCTTTCTTTTACATAGAGGGTGGTAGGTGCCTGGAACGTGCAAGCAGATATGTTAGGAAAGTTTGAGCCACTTACAGAAACACGTTAACAGGCAGGGAATAGAGGAATACAGACCATTTGCAGATAGATGGTATTAGTTTAGAATGGCACCATGGTCAGCATGGTGGGCTGAAGTTCTTGTTCCTGTGCTGTACTATTCTATATTCTAACTCTGCTTCACCTGAAGCAGAGTGTTCCCAAGTGTCTCAACCCTCTGAAGAAAAGAAATTCTTCCCATCTATGTATTAAAAGGGTGACCCTTAAATTTAAAACCTTGCACCTAGTTCTGACCAACCACAAGGAAGGTTCCTTTCCATGTGTACCTTTTGTCAGGACCATTCCAAATTTTGTACATTTCAATCAAGTCACATAGCAGTCTTCCAAACTCTAGTGGAAGCAAGCCCAGCCTGTACAACCTACTCTCATAAGTTAGCCCACTCATTCCAGATATCAGTCTAAGTTTCCAAGAGTAAACCTCTTCTGACCTACCTGCAATGTACTTATATCATTTTTAACATTACGGAGATGAAAACAGTTTTTGAGATGTGGTCTTATTCATGTCCTTTATAACTGAAGCATGACATTCTTACTTTTACATTGAATTCCTCTCATAATGAAGCACAACATCTCATTAGCCACATTGATTAAACACTGCAGCTGGATCCTAACATTTTATACCTCCTGCTGAAGAACACTTAAATCCCTGTGTGTGGCTTGGAATTCTACAGTCTTTTAAATAATACCCTGCTTTTTTATTCTTCCTGCCAAAGTGTGCGATTTTACTCATTTCCACAATGTACTTCATCTGTCAAATCTTTACCATTCATTTAATCTATCTATATCTATCAGCAAGCTCCTTGTGTCTTCTTCACAAAATAGTCTCCTGCCTATCTTTGTGTCACCTATGGATTTAGCTACCATACTTGGTCACCATTTCAGGTGCAAGTATAACTTTAATAACTGTCAGTGTGAGGCCTTTATTGTTTCAGAGATAGCAGGAACTGCAGATGCTGGAGAATCTGAGATAACAAGGTGTAGAGCTGGATGAACACAGCAGGCCAAGCAGCATCAGAGGAGCAGGAAGGCTGAAGTTTCAGGCCTCGATCCTTTTTCAGAAATTCCAGCATTCCTGCTCCTCTGCTGCTTGGCCTGCTGTGTTCATCCAGCTCTGCACCTTGTTATCTGAGGCCTTTATTGTATGGACATGCCGTCTATGGCCAGACAGTAAGGCTTGTAAGCAGCTGCCCCTCATTGGTGACCAGGGTCCTGGAAGGGTGATATTTTCTGTTGCCTCCTGTGCCTTCAGCTCTGGTATCAGCAGCAGACAGGTGCTCTGAACTCTGCTGTTGAATGTCCCCAAACCCTCTGTATCATGAGATGAGGATTATGCCTCCTCTTCTTCCTCTGATTGAGGTTCCCACACCTTCACATTGCCAGATTGTGTAGTGCAGAATGCATGATGATGATCATATCCTTCTTGTAATGCTGTTAATGCTGTTGAGTTTTCCTTTTATTGGGAGTCGGCGCGTGACCTGCACAGTTTACCAGGCTTGTCTCCCATCACTCCAATGAGCTCCACAAAATCCATTCCAAAGAAATATTTCAAAACTTTCCTGTTCACTTGTTCTTTTCTCTGTTTCCTAGGGAAAATCCATTTATACTCCATCAGTTGAGAGTTTTTCTGAGTGTCTCCAGTCTGTGTTTG